TACTGCTTACTGGGGTCCAGTTGGACATCCTCCTGCTTCATGATGCCGATGCTGCAGATCAATCAAGATACGGCTTAATGCTTAGTTCTGCTGCCTCTTTTTGAAGCTTGTTTCCCTTGCATCTTCTCTCTTCTCTCCCAGCTCTGCGTTGCTAGCAGAGATGAGGCTTTCAGCATCAATCACAACATTGGCTTTCGCGGCAGGCATTGCGCTTGCGAGAGATCCGCGCCATGTCAGGAGCAGTTGGGATCCGAATTTTGAATCTCAAGTCGCGAAACGTTTAGCTCGTCCAGTCGCCGCTCCTGGGGGGTATTCTGCGAAACCGATCATTCCTCAGACGCAGAAGACGGAGAAGTTCAAAGTCAATGGAAGAAGAATTCCTGATGTGGACTTTGATATTGGAGAGAGTTATGCTGGATTACTGCCGATTTCTGAGGGCAAGAATGTGAGCGAGCTGTATTTCTGGTTCTTTCCTAGCGCCAATGCGAAGGCGGATGATGAGATTTTGATTTGGTGAGTGGGAAAACGCGATTTGTACGACAGAGGAGGAAGTACTGACAATTGATGACCAGGCTCAATGGAGGTCCAGGCTGCTCCAGTCTTGAGGGGTTGTTACAGGAGATTGGACCCTTCCTTTGGCAGTTCGGAACGTACAAGCCAGTCAAGAATCCTTATACTTGGATCAACTTGACCAATGTTGTTTTTGTCGAACAGCCTGCTGGAACTGGGTTCTCTCCGCGGAAGGGAACACCTCCAGCGAAAGATAACATTGAGGCTGCGAAGCAGTTCTTAGGCTTTTGGAAAAACTTTGTGGATACCTTCGGTCTGCACAATCGCAAGATTTACATTGCTGGAGAATCATATGCTGGGTACGTCGAGTGCTATAGTTTGGTTAAATTTCTGAGACTGATTTCTGCTGCAGCTACTACGTCCCATACATCGCGGATGCCATGCACAATGCCACGAACGCGACCTACTACAACATCGAGTCGATCATGTTCTATGATCCATCTGTCTCGTACGACATCGTCCACGGGGACATCCCGGCAGTGCCATTCGTACACAACTGGAAGCAGCTCTTCAATCTCAATGCGACTTTTCTCAAGAGCCTTGACGCCCGTCACAAGAGCTGTGGGTATGAGAAGTTCCTTGAAGAGACGCTCGTATATCCGCCGAAAGGGCCGCTTCCGACTCCACCAGACGTGGATGAGAAGAATGGCAGCTGCCGTCTCTTTAGAGAAATCAGGGTGGCTGCTTCTCTGGTGAACCCTTGCTGGGATGCTTACCAGGTATTCATCTCGGAATCGTCATTCAAAGCCCACTCACTGACCTCCTTTTAGATTGCCACGACTTGTCCACTTTTGTGGGATGTACTGGGATTTCCAGGTAGCTTCCCATACACCCCCGATGGCGCCAACATCTACTTCAACCGTACAGACGTACAGAAAGCAATCAACGCTCCGCTAGGCAGATGGGACGAGTGCTCAAACAATGTCCTCGAGGATGACAACAGCACACCCTCAGGTTTGAGCGTCTTGCCAAGAGTTATTGAAAAGAACAAGAAGACAATCATCGCACACGCCGAGCTCGACATGGTTCTTATGACGAACGGAACACTCGTCATGATTCAGAACATGACTTGGAACGGGGTGCAGGGATTCCAGAAGGGCCCGAGCGAGTGGGAAGAATTCTACGTTCCGTACCACTCCGAGTCAAACGATGGCACTCTGGCTGGAGCAGGATATTTTGGAAGACACCACACCGAGCGTGGCTTCACTTTCAGCACTGTCGAGCTTTCGGGACACATGATACCTCAGTATGCTCCGTCTGCTGCGTATCGGCTGCTTGAGTTTTTGCTGGGCAGGATTGAGAGTCTGAGTGAGGTGTCGGATTTTACGACGCAGAAGGGAGATTTTGGGAACGGTAATGCTACTATAAAGATGTTTTGAGGAGAGTGTAGCATAGATAGACAATGTGCATACTGAAGACGCGTCGATCGAGCGCGAATTTGATGACGTAGCGCGTTGGCTTCGTGCTGACAGACACTTCATGTACAACTGTTATGTGTTTCGATCTTCCTTTTTGCTGTTATAATCATAAAAGTGAATTAACCTGGCGTAGACCAGAATCTCGTAGGGAAGGAACGACTGCTACAGCCGAATTTTCCGATTACCTCAACATGCTCTTCAGCCAGCCTCGACATCGCCACATCCTCCTCGAAATAGGATGAGAATGCCGCCACCTGCAGTACATGACCACTTTCCCTGAGACTAAATCCGTGCATTCTGACGTTCTCACAGACACCATCACCACGCCGCTTCTTGCCAGGCAAAAGACACGCCTCGCCAAATAAGAGTGCAAAAGCCACACCCTCAGGTCTACGAAACCAATTGCCATTCACTCATAATGGCGATGGATTCGATCAACCGAAGTCTAAGGCGAAGGCTTACACGCCATCTTCCCGTAGGCCAGTTGAAGCAGAACGCGGAGATTCCTTTGGACCTTCCACGCCATTGATTAGACCTTCTGGTGCGCAATTTGCGCAAACGCCAAAGTTCTCTCTTGCACGTCCAGCACAGCCTTCTCCACCGCCACAACAGAATTTGGGTGCCGCATTGCGTCAACGCACTGAGGATGTGCAGTCACAGTCACAGGAAGATCACGCTGATGAGGAGATGCTTGAGCTGGAAAAAGAAGAACAAGAAGAAGCTATTCCCGCCGAGAATGAAACAAACCAGACATTCGATCTAGTTCATTCCCCCAAACGACGAAGACTTTTAGATGAAACATCAGCACGACCGACTTTCAAATTCCCCACACCCCCAGCGTCCCATTTCGCGAGAGGATCCAGCACAGTCGCAGAGAACAACAACAACCCAAAAATTCCCCGCCCAGCATTCCTCAAACCTGCACCGTCTGCTTCTTCTGAACACTTCGAACCTCCACCCGAAGCTTTCTCCCCTCATCGGCGTGGAGAGAAATTTTTGCCCGGAGGTATGGCTGCTACGGTACAGCAATGGGTTGTAGAGACGGGACAGGCGGCTGTGCAAAGTCGGAAAGGTCAAGGGTATCTTAAGGGTGAGGACTACGTGCTACGTGTGAGAGTTGATCGAGTGGATGGGTGTGGGCCTTTGTTGATTTCTGGGAAACGAGTGCAGGAAGGGGATGAGGTGGGTTTGATGCTTGTTGTTGAGGGGAAGAAGAGGGTGGTGGGGGAGGGGAGTGTGGTTGGGATTCGAGCTCCGGTTTGGGAGGTTGTGGTTGAGGGTGCGAGGTGGAGTGTGGGTGTGGATTGGAAAGTGGTGTAGATAGGTTTCGTGGTTCTGGTGCAAGAAGATCCTCTCCAGCTTTACATTCTTGCTACACTTCAAAACAGGCCTTAGACAATCAGTAAGATCCCTTTCTGGTCTAGTAATATAGGGATCTTTTGCTTGTATGTATAGCAACGCGCACGAGTAGAAGTCTAGAGCGTTCATCCCAGCCATTCCTGCCTCGTTGCGGCGGTCTCTTACTAACATTAAGACTTTATCTTGAACTTCAAAAAGACACTTTGAACAACGAAGGAAGACGTACTCTTATTAAGCATTAGATTGTATTATTACAGCGTGTCTTATGCATCCGAGAAGCCGCTTAGTAGTGCTTCCTTCCCGGCTACATTTGCTATGAGCTTCGCGCAAGTCCGTCTATAATACGTAGAAACCGATTAGGAGACGTTGCTACAGTTCTTATCCTAGTCTCTGACCGGCTTCGCGAACGCATAAGACACCACCCTCGCTACAAGGTCAACAGCACAGCCTCACTGGCGCGTACAGTGATCGGACCAATCTTGCCATTTCTTGCCGCAACATTCAGAGTCGTGGATTGGCCATTTACAGGTTGACCATTGCTCGCATACGTCCAGCTTTGTCCCTTCCAAGAAATCTTCGAGGCGTCTTGAACATCTCCAGCAGGAGCGGTCAGGTATTCGACTTTCACGGTCTTGGTCAAAGAGCTGCCGAGGGTAAGGGTGACGCTCTTGGCCGGGCGAGTACCCGATCCTGACCAGTACAGTTGGAAGTTGATCAGGACGATTCGCTTTGGGTTGCCGTTGGAATCGTAGACGCCGTATGCTGAGAACTGGTCGCCGGTGTTGGGAATGTTGTAGAGCTTCAAATTGCTCAGTCCGTTGCCAATCACGTCGGCGACGAAGGGGTGGGCGTAGTATGGAGGCAGCACGGCCGCTGGGCCTGCGTCGCTATTGATACCGCGCCATGAGGAGTATGAGAAGCCAGTGCTTTGCTGCACGTTCATGCGCTTGATGTTGAGGAAGGCGGCGTAGAGCATGTAGTCCACAAGCCAGAGAGCGTTACCGAAAGTGCCCAGCTTGTCGTAATTGTTGGTGCTGTAGATATTGCTGTTGTCCTCCGCAAGGTGGAGTGGAATGTTTGGGCGATTCTTTTTCAACCAGGCCACCGGAGGCTTGCAGAGAGTGTCAAGCTGCGATGCGATTCGGGAGTGATTCATATAGTTGGCCTGGAGGTCAACATTGGCGCTTGAATCCATATAGTGGTGGAGTGCAGCTGATTTGATGTTCCCATCATCGCCTTGACCACTGGAGAAGGTTGTAGCAATGCACCATGGGCAGTTGTTGCCAATGTAGACTGGCGCTTGGAAAACATTCGGATTGCTGGGAACCTGCTGTCGGATGGTTTGGCTATAGTTCTTCCATTCGGTGATATAATTAGAGACTCCCCATGCTGATGGTCTGTCGACGCCTGGGTATTTGTTGATTTCATTGCCGATCTCGAGCGCTTCGTGGTCTCCGCTGGGCACGTTCTCAAAGTACTCTTTGGTGGCAGCAACCGAATTGTCGAGCGCGCCGTACTTGGCGAAGTGGGTCATGTACGTCCACTTCGTTCCTGGCCAGCTCGCAAAACCCTCGAACCAGACTGGGCCGATCTTCATGCCAATGGGGATCGAACCCACTGATGCCTCTTTGTCCAGCGCGGTGGTCTGCGATGGTACAAAAGTAGCATGATCGCCACTAGTTCCACCAACACGGACGTGGACATTCGTGCCAAGCTTACTCGCGATCGAGTTGACCAGGTTTCGGGAGAAGACATTCGGGGACGACTTGTTGCCAGCGTAGTGATGGAAGGAGTGTTGCGAGAAGGCCAAGGCTGGGTAGTCGAGAGGCACAGCATCCGAAGCGTCACTTGGTGCGGTGGCCGGTATGGCGATGGCAAGAGCCGAGTCTTGTCGTTCTTCCAATATGGGCGATTGAAGGGTCAGTGATGCGCCCAGTGGCACCAACAGCAGCGAGGACAGCATGATGGCGACAGGCAAGTGACAGGCGTGACGGCCGCTCGTACCGCTGGGCCGCATGGTTTCTTATTATACTCACGGAGCCTTTCCATAGTCTGCTGCACTGCACGTACCTCATGCACCGCTCCTGCGCCTAGCCTAGCCCACCTAGGCTGCAATACGACCATCATAGCTGGTTCGAGAGCGGTATAAGCGGAGGAGTCGATTTTGATCGTCACCATTCGCGAGGTCTCTTTTAAGCACATCTATTCTAGAAAGCGCCGTAGGTTCCAGTTCCCGAGGTCGATGGCTACAGTGTAGAGTGGTTCAAGATGATGATATGGAGATGGTGTGAGGGGAGGCTGTATGTCGTGATCTCTGCCACCGCCTGCCACCCAGGCTTCAGCTTGGCAAATTTATGACCGCCGCCCTTGCGATCGATCCTGCAGGCACCGAACGGCGACATTGATACTGCAGCACTATCGCTGCTTGAAGCAGCCTCTAGCTCTTGCTATAAACCACTCACTACACCTCTTGCACTCCCAGGCTGCATCTCTGAGCGCCTACCGCCACATCGTACCAAACTATCCTCGAGATAACGCGAACCCCGAACATCCACGTCCGTCCAGCCAACATGACACGCAGAATCGTCTATGGAATCTCACTATGGGTATTCCTGGGAGCAGCTGCATGCACAATAGCCGCTATAGCACTTCCAAATTGGGTCTCGTACACTTCGCCGACCGACCACGACCCCATACGCGTCACATATGGACTGCACAAGCGCTGTAGCTCCATTACTGGTGGGTGCACCAAGTTCCCGCAGTACGAAGACTGTCGCGGCGATGATAAGAGCTTCTGTTCCATGTGGAGGAGCACGGGGTTCTTCATGAACTTTGCCGTGGTCCTCGAGCTTGCAAGTATCATTGCATACATCACCATTCTCGTTGGAGGGAGAAGTACGAGAGAAGCAGGATGGAAAATCATATCTCCGCTCCTATCTATCGTAGGGCTTACACAGTTGATACCTATGGCATTGGTGGTAGGTCCACTTACATGAGAGAACACATACCCGAGGTTGACTTGACCTCTAGGCCGGACTCTACGAAAATGACAGCCGGTTTTTCGTCGGCTGGGCGCTGGACAAATCTTGGATCCTGTGCACTGTCAGCTGGATCGTCCTAACTATCAACGCTGTGGGAGTTGCTTCCGCCGCATGCATTTTGCCGTATGACGATGACTATGAGCCGATATCATAATCACGCATTTCAAGGACACGAGTGGAACAGTACGGGGGACTAGAGAGGTAACGAGCCAGGATGCTCGAGTTTCGGACAGCAAGTACGGCATAGAAGGAGTTGGAGGATGCTTGCATATACACTTAGCTACAGGACGCGGGCGACACGTGCTAATGATACCCATAGCAGATACAGAGCATTGACTGGTGAACCAGACAACACCTCATACCATTTTCAACTGTCATTGTGAATCTGACTGGACTCGCTACTTGCTCTCTTGAATCAGCTCATCTACATCAACTTTGCCAAGAAGCTTTTCCTCCCACAAATTGCATCGATATAGCGTACAATGTCGACATTCGAGCCACCACCCTGGATAGACCAGAAGAGATCCGGATTCTCGGTCTCACTGCCTGTGACTAGGAAGAAAAGTGCTGCTTAGAAATGCGTCATTATTCGACGCTGACAATTCCGAACTCCAGACCACTTGTTATACGCTCTTGGAGGCCCGATGAGACCAGAGGCTACAGTCGCGACGTGGTCACCACAGCGGCTGAACCACAGTAGAGAGGCAACACAGGGCAAGGTGAGATCCAGCTAGATCACTCGTCATTCGCTTCCGGAAGCACAATGAGAGAAAAGGCCACAGTCGAGAGATGACTAGCGCAGTGACTGGATCCGGGAAGAAAGCAGCGTACAGGAAGGTGAGAACCAGCACTAAATCACTTCCCATTCTCTGCGAAGCACAATGAGACTAGAGACAACAGTCGTGAAGTAACCTCCACAGCACCTAAAGCACAGCGAGAAGCAGAGTAATGGAAGGTGAGATTTAGCATTGCATTCCTTCGTACTCGCTCTAGGAAGCATAGCAATACTAATAAAACAGTCGTGAGGTGGCTAGCCTAATAAGTACACTATCGTGAGAAACTAGCATACCGCAAGGTAGAGTCTAGTACTAAATCACTTGTATTTCGCTCTACAAAGTATAATAGGACAAGAGATCGAAGTCACGAGGTAACTACCGCAGTAGTCAAGCTGTAGTGAGAAGTCAACGCATATAAAGGTTAATTTCAGCTCAGACTCACTTGAGGTTTGCTCCAGAAACATGATAGGGCCAATAACAATATCGACGACCTAAGCACTATAGAAGAAGGCGACACGCGGGAAGGCGAGATCCAAAATTCGATTACTTACTCTTCGCTCTAGAAATCACAACAAGACTTAAGGCATTAGATACGATGCGACCGCTATAATAGGTATGCAATAAACGAAGAGATGAATTTTAGCACTAGATTACCTTTTACTATCTCTAGAAACCGTAATAAAACTTCGAACTTTAGTAACGAAATTAGCACTATAGTAACTAGGCTATAGTGCGAAAAGGGAAGCTTAATCCTAAATTCCTCGTAATTCGCCCTAGCTAGCTTAAGATCCGGAATTCACTAGAGCGGCTATAGGGACTTTAGTATAGAATTTCTTTTCGAGGTAGGTACGCTACTATTACCTATAAAGGAGGAATAAAGTATCGTTTAAGCCCTATAGCACTTGTCCTAATCGAGCGGAGCGACGGCGTAGAGCTCGATAATAATATTAGATTGCCTAATAGCGCTTTTACGCTTATTGCTATAGTCTATATAGCTATAGTATAGTATCGAAAGCCTCGACGAGTAGTCGCTATATTACTTAAAGTCCTTATTATCGCCCTATATCTACGCTATAGCTAAATCCTCTTCCTAGTAATAGCGCAATCTATTATTAAACGCCTATTAACGTATCTACTCTTCCGCGATTGCAATTTAAATACGTGTCTCTTTATTAATTTCCTTATTGTCTACGGTTACTTGCTCTTGCTCTTACTCTTACTCTTACTCTTACTCTTACTCTTACTCTTACTCTTACTCTTACTCTTGCTCTTACTCTTACTATATTCGCGGATCGCTATCGACGATATTACTACCTCGAAGAAGGTAGCTCGAAGAGACTACCTACGATCGTATAAGAAGGGTTATATTAGCAGGTAGATAGGGTAGTAGTAAATTAGTATAGTATTTAATAGGGATCTAGGAGGAGAGGGAGGAAGGTAGGAGAGTTAGCCTAACGCTAAGCGCTAAGCCCTGCCTAAGGCACTAAGACCCTAGCTTTACTTAGCCTAGTTACATACTAATTACGTATAGCCTCTTTAGCCCTAATATACGCTTCCCTTCTAAAGGCCGCGCCCTCGTAGCCTGTCTATATTCTACGACCTCTATTACCGCTAACTTAGCAAGTCTAATAAGCTACTTAGCCCGCGCTAAATTGAAAATACAATTACCGATTATGTAACTATATTAAACCTTACCTCTAACACAATATAATGTCTAACTCTAACTGCGCTATTCTTGCCTATAATAAAGTAATATATAACTACGAGAATTGAGGACCTTCGACTAATTATAACACAAGCGCGTCTTCCCTACTATAATAGGTAGACGTACGAGGTATTACAGCCCTACCTCCGTTCTAAGTAATATCGTTCCGAGTTCTTTGCGTCTACTCTAAAAGACCTAGCTATGTCCGCTTCCGAGGGTTCATTCTTATTATTACGAGGGCTATTATTGTTCGTAGTTTCGCTAGCCCTAATTAGTTAGGTTTAGTAGCCTTTAATTGTTAATCTTATCTTATCTTTTTAGAAAAAACACAGCTCGTCTAGTTTCTATAGGTAAAGGCTATTATAAGTGCAGTAGTAGAGGTTCGCCTCGCTTAAAGGGTTAGATAGATCGAGGAGTAACCTATTGTCCGCAAGATCGACCCCGGCTAGCTTAGCTCTATAGTTTTGCCCTTAGTTAGTCTATTAGTCGCTTAATCTTTTAGGCGGCTTAAAGTTTTAACTTAGCCTTAAAGTTTTAATTAAAGTTTCGATTAAACGGTTACACTAGCACTAAGCGACACTAGCACTAAGCGATACTAGCACTATACCTACCTCTTCCGTAAACTACGACCTTCTATCGTAAAATAAACAAACCCTTATCCGATATAGCTACCTTTAATAGTAAAAGAGCAATATAGGAAGAGCAAGAATAGCAAGCACGAGTAATTAAGGATATAGAGACATAAAGGACTTAGTTAAAAAAAACGGAGAATACTAAAAGGCAAAAAACTATAGATAGGCAATACCCGGGGTTACTCTTACGGACACGATATAGCCCTCGAGTATACGACCCTTTAAGACAAGTTACGAATTAACTAAGTAAATATGCCTACTAGACTTCGACCTTATACGAATCTTATAAAAGAAACGCCGCTATAGAAAACCTGTCCTAGAGAACTGATTTCTTTAGGTTTAGATAATAGGCAGTTACCTCTACTAGTTTATTAGGCTGCTAGCTGCCTTAGAAAAGACTATTAAATAGCCTAAATCCCTTAGGTTCCCTACGTAACTTAATAACTAGGCGCAAAGGATTACTACAACTCTAATACCCGGTTATAGCTAGGTATACGCTTCGTTTTAGTCGATTATTATTAGTTAAAGGTCGTAAATTGAAGTGCTATTATATACCCTTATTGCTACTGCCTAGGATAGCTTAGATAGTAATAGCTTAGTTAGAAGGGGAAGGTAGAGAGGTAAGGTTTGAATAGCATACTAGTTAAGTGTTTAATTCCCTATCTAGAAGCTATATTAATATTAAGTTAGTATCGACAGTGTATACTAAACTAGCACCTAAACTAGTACCTTAACCTGCCCTCCGAAGCTAACTAAGTTCAGTCAATTAAGCGCATTTCTAGCAAAAGCACGCTAGTAAAAGTAATTAATACGATAACGACGGCGGCCTTAGGCTCTAAGAATCCTACGCCTATATACTAAAAGCGAGTAGTTAAGTTGTCCGGAAAGCGCCGTAAAAGGAGAGTACTAAAGTAGAGGGCAAGTTAATGTCGAGCCTTAGCGAGTACTTAACTTGTCTAGAGCGCTAGTGCCGCAAAAGGAGAGTACTAAAGTAGAGGGCAAGTTAATATCGAGCCTTAGCGAGTACTTAACTTGTCCGGAACGCTAGCGCCGCAAAAGGAGAGTACTAAAGTAGAGGGCAAGTTAATATCGAGCCTTAGCGAGTACTTAACTTGTCCGGAACGCTAGCGCCGCAAAAGGAGAGTACTAAAGTAGAAGGTAAGTTAATATCGAGCCTTAGCGAGTACTTAACTTGTCTATAACGTAACGTTAGTAAAGTAATACAGGTATTAAGAGCGATATACGGTTAGGTATAGCAAGTCGAATCTATTATATATAGGAGGCCGCATTTACCTTCTAAGCCTAATTCGGTATAGCTTAGCGTTCTATAAATAGAGAGCGCCTTCCGCCGTTCTCCTTTCTCCTTTCTCTTTCTCTTTCTACCTTCTACCTTCCGCGTTTCCCTTACTACTTCTATTTACCTTTTCTACTTTCCTTCCGACCGCTAGCTTAGAGCTACGTCGCACTCTCTCTTTTTAACTAAAGATAGCCGACGTTTAGCACTTCGGTTAGCAAGCCGCTACTAGCGTACTAGGCGGATAAGGCCCTCCTAGCGGTAACCCGCGTAAGACTCTTCCGCCCGACTACGATAAGTACGATATCGATAATCTAGCACTCGACGATAAAGAGGTCGATCCGAGTATTAATAGCAGTCGAGTCTACTTAAATCCTTCTTATAGCAAGCGTAAGAAGCGCACCTAGTTCTAGAGCCTTTGTACTACTAGTACTGCGACTAAACTAACTGCGTACTACCTCCGATACCGTCTTATAGATTTAAAGAATAAGAAAAAGAAGGCTATAGCGTCTAAGAAGCACCCTCTCGATACTAAAGACTAGGATACCGATATAGTTACTCTAAATAAGCGCGGCCGTCTATTTAAGACACTAATACTAATACTACGAGCTAGCGCTATATTAAATCTAATTTCTATCTCGCCTTCCTCTATATAGAGCTCTACTATTCCTTCGAGCTCTATCCCCTCCTTATCTAATCTATCTGCTAGAGATCTAATTAAGCGCAACCCGCTATAGTTATTAGGCT